TGCATTTACTCCAACTTGACGCCCTTCTACCTCGTGAGAAGTCTCGGGACGCCACAGTCAGTTTTACTGTAACTCGACAAGATTCCGATGAGTCTTGCTTCCGACAAACACATTCGCGACGCTTTGTTTGTTGTCCGTCCAAGCGAATATACTTTCGCCGAGTCAGTTACATAAGAATTCTGCTCGCCACTATTGTAACGTATATCGTGTGTTTAAACTGCCTTTTCGAGGGTAGCACTGGATACTTGCTTTAACCATATCCCATTTTTCGTATACTTTGTAGCAGATGCCTAATAGGGCTTCTCAGAGCGTTACTTTGCTAACGAAGACGGGAGTAAATGACCCCAATCATGTGGTCGGGGATACTACAGCTGTTCCAGCAGTTTCTTCTCAGGTAGTGTATTGCTCTGTTATCTGGCTATGTGTGAAATGTGGTCACTTTAGCAACCATGTTAATATTGATTGAATTCGTCTCAAAGCTGTGCCTAAATTCAGAGTTCTCTATGCCCTGTTCATGCATAGGTGTCGACAATGACACTACTGCCTGTTTTGGATTTGTTTTCCAACGCCTAGCTTTGGACGGTAAACGAAACCCCCAATCAGTGAATCCCGTTTTCCAGCCAAACGAAACTCAAGGTCCGGTTGACAATGCTGAGATGAATCAGTAGAGTTAAGGCCAAATGTCTCTCCTCAGTCTCACAGGAGTTGATGGCTGCCGAGACCAGCCTGTGAGTGTTCAATGTTAGCACCGTGTACATTATGATGTGTGGAGGGAGATTTATCTGGAGGAGTGCCGTACATGTCAGTCAAAAGAGAGACAATTTAATACTTTGTTCGACGGCAGGTATGCGTGGCGGTTACTAGAATGTCCATGACTGACCTTTGAATCGCAGGAAAACCCAGCTTTTTGCCTTCTGTCCGACTACATGAAACCACCCTAACACTAAGAAGATAGTGATGCTATGTAGTCCGTACCCAGCTTAACCAAATGCAAAGTCACTGAGTCTGTTATACCTTTTTTATGTGAGTGGCAGTTACTGCAGTATTCACCTTACACCAGGCTGCATAGACTGGCTTCTGGGCTAAGAAAAAGCTCAATCTATCCCTCTTCCCATCGAATACGTTTTCAGATCGACTTAATGCCTTATTCTACTAAATGAGAAGGTTTGGAGCGGTACAGGATCCCATCTTTTAAATCAATGAACTTTGTTATCTGGAGCCCATCAGTTAATAATGTCCGCTTAGAAAATTCTGCCTTGCCACTCACATAGCTTTTATTCCATCTGCGATGTTTTGTAGAGCGGTATCGAAATTGTCCATCGTCATGCTTCCCTGTCTACACGAAAGCATGTCTTTGGTTCGCTACTTTCGGATGCGTACAAGTTTTACCTCCCTCACTTCCTCGTTTGATTTCACAGATTAATGGTCTCGTTGATTATTTTAACACCTCAAAATTTAAGCGATGAAACAGCTCAAGGAAATGGGAAATAAAGACTTGGACAGCAACAATAAGGTTCGCATTTCGCACAATTCTAAGTAGCGATAGCCACGGTTTCAAACGTAATTTGTGAACCTATGAATTTTCTAGCTTATACTTGTGAAAACTTCACGACTATGGAAGAGTACACCCAAATAAGAGAACTAGGGCGTAAGCCAGTATTTGGAGTCCTTCTGATGAACGCGCATACATCTTCCATTTGTGAGTTTCTTATAACTTCCAATTTCTTAGACCTCCAAAAATTTAGGTACCAAAAGAGCAACTCTTCGAGGATGACGGGGTACCTATCGTAATGCTTTCTGAAAGGAGGTTTCGCCCTCATTATGTTTAGTGTTGCCACTAATTCTCTTTCACTTAAACACCAAAAACCGTTTAATACCACTGCATCACACACTTTTAATAGCTCTTACAGTCATCTTTATTTTCGTTCGCCTGAAAGCCCAAGTAAAAGTAGCGTCTTGATAGGCCTCAAGGTTGGTAGATGTCCAACTCACCATCGCTTCCAACATCCTTGAGGGCTTGAACGAGTCGCAGAAATTCGGCTCCTAACCACTGCGTGTAGTTCTGGTCAGCCCACGGAATTAGTGTTAAACTCTCAGTCAGATCGCTGAATATAAGGTCACGATGACCAAATCCCGAGTCGAACATCCGAAATACTGGGTTCCTACACGTGGATGTGATACGTAAGACTTGCGTACTTATTACGCCTTCTTTACCTGTTATCTTAATGAAACACTCGTCCGCGTTAATGTTAGCTAGTACTTGTGTATTTGAGCGCTTTGCTGGACTTCATGGCTGGAGGCCACGGCATTAGCCTCCCAATTCCGCTGAATGACAGATGGTATGGTTGTTTTTTTAAAAAAACCTCTCAACCTATTTCATATGAGTAAATCGCAAAATAGAAGACAATCGCAATCAAACTACAGACCCACCAATCATCGCCGTAGTACACCTGACCGTACTGTAGCAAACGCCACATGTTTAGTCGCTCATTCTCCGACTTGTGCGGCGCCGTGATTATAGTATTGGCGGGTACTTTGCCCAAGTGGCAGTTGCGCCAGTTCTGAACATCCTGCCGACGTCCATCTGGACATAATAACTCAAAATCGTCCTCGCGTAGGTTTCGGGCCCAGTAGTCGGGATTTCTATTCAATGGAGTAGAAAATAACTTTGGATCAGCAACGAACATTTCCTATTTTTTTTAAGAATGAGGGGGTAAAAGCTGATTTGTGAGCGAAAGGGCGGGTTCTCCAAAAGGGTGACGATTTTCCACACACTGGATTGTCAGAGCTGTAATAAGTATTGGTTGTTTAAAATGTGCTTTGTATGTGAACGACGGAAATGCACTCCAGGCGATAGGCTCGATGACCCAATAGAAGCAATTTTCGGATCATTATAGACACCAAATTTTCCTGTACGCAATGCACATATGGATGGAGAATCTACAGCCACGCCTCATAAAATTCATACCGCCGAACTTCCCCTAATATTAACTGTAATACGTTGTTGATATGATCACCTGGTGTTTAGCGATTATTTTGATAATCATCTTACCCTTGTGCGCGTAGGCTAGCCTTCAGGCTAAACCGAGATCCATTTCCTTCTTCTTCCCTAGAAGGCATTTGTTCAGCCCGACTTAATGCCTTCATTCACCCATTGGGAACCCTCGAGATGCTACATTAAGCACAGGATTTCAAACAAATTCCATTAAATTCCTTCACCACATTGGTTTTAATAGGTAGCGCCACAGAATTAAGCGCCGCATGGTTTTTGGAAATTCTCAGGAAATTAAAACTTAATACCATGACTGTTTCTAAGCCAACCCACGGAAATGTGAAAAATTGTAATAAATTTGAGAAAAGGTTTAGGTGAATTAATCTAGCAAATCCCCAGGTAGTGAGGTCAGAAATAATTCACTACCTTGGAAGCTGCACAGACAGCAACTCTGGATTTTAACGATTACTGAGCAAGAAAGTATTCCTTCGAATTCCTCACAATAAATCCTACACTAACAGATACGTTACCCGTGTTTGTAAGATTATACTATGGATCGCAGTGTTCGAATAAGAACCTGTTTCGAAATAGACCTTATCATTAAAATGGGAGGTTAGAAATTTGCTTAGTGAAGTAGAAAGTTGATGCTCAATTAACACTGAACTAGGTGCAATAACACTAACAGTACTAACGCGATGAGTAAACTCTGCCAGTTTGATCGCTTTGAAACTGGCGTCAACTGCCGAGAGTCGAGAGCAGCAAAATATTTTGCATTTCCGATAAGTGGCTCTAGAATTGGGCAGGTATACTGTTTAATCGACTGTTACATTATCCGAGTAAGATGGTTGAAGTTTCCATTAATTTTTATGCAACAGCTGGAAAGAAGAAAGAAAAATTGTCCCCTAAAAGCCGGCTCTCGACTTAAACTTGAGCAATTCGAAGTTCGTTCCGGTATGCATATTTGAGATACGGAAGAATGCTAGCAAAACAAATCACTAACGACAGCTAACCTATTAGCGGTGTTGGCCTGAACCGTGGTGTGCCGCGTGAAAGCGATCTGGCCTGCCTCAGTGAGACAGCGAAAAGCTCCGTCCTCACCAAAGTAGAGTTCTCGATTGTCCCGTTGACATCGGTCATTGCCACCACTCATACACAGCTCGCAGAGATTGAGTGGGATTCTTCCAGTAGGGTTGAAAGCCTGATCTTGTATCCCAGGAATGCAGGCCTGGCTCACTAACTCGCCTAAAAACAGCACCAACCCGGCAATCAAGCATGTCATGCGCCTTATCCCACCACGTAAATCTTATTTGCGTTTGTAACAGTTAGCATCCGTTCTTCACCTCCATAAGCTATATGCATGTCTCCAGACAAAAAAAAACATTGAAGTAGTGCTAGTAAAGTTGTCCCACCTTAGAGGTATCAGAAAATGGTATCAGTGAAAGTAATATTTGCTAGGTCGTTTCACTTTAAAAAGTTGCGAGGTCATGACGAGCCGAAAGGTTGCTAGAAGTACGTGAGCCATTTTACTCAACATATGGATGGAGGACACAAAGGAAAATCACTTGCCCTATGGCAACATGTTGCTAAGACAGATAATATAAACAAGTGAAACTTTAGTGTTTGACTATATTCAGCGATGAGACCTCAGGAACTGGTGCAGAGAATGAGGATTTCTTGACCTGAACTGCAATGAATTGAATCAAGGTTCTTTGGGACCTACTAAAAGCAAAAATCAGATGTTTTCCATAAACTCGAACTTGAGCTGTTTCCAGAATTAAATTAAGAGGAATTATCCATCCCGTGGCTCTTCCAACTCCGCTTTGACAGGTGCGCCGGAACTTCCAGTTGGAGATGAGAATGTCTGGATTCGCTTTTCGTACCACCGCAACAGCATAGTAAAATGGTCCGATACCGTAGTTTCTAGGTGCCTCAAAATGGATTAGGGCAGTAGTCTTACTCATTGACAATGGGAACGAGATCGAATTGGCTCCCTGCCATGTATAAATCCCCTGCCTCAACGCTCATCATGTCCACGAAACCGTCTCGTGTGGAACGCATGCAGTCGATGGTTGTCTGCTCGAGAATGCATGTCAGATCAGGTTTTATGCCCTTCGCAGCGAATGCACTGCTCATTCTTTCACATTTCTCCATTTCCCAGTAGTCCATCACACACCAGCGGATTGTGGGCAGGGGACACTGATTCAGCACCTCTTTGGCGGCCAAGAAGGTTGGATCTAAAAGCGGATAGAGGTTGATCAAGCTGTGATGAAGTGTGAACTCTGATTCTTGACATGCTTGGATGTCAATGCCCTAAAGTTTGGGGAACACGACCGCTTTATTCTCTCACCAGTATTGGAAGCCTTAGCCTTCGTAAACACTAGAACCATGCCTTTAGCCATACCTCCGCGACTCCCTCCAACTTAGTGGTAATGGCAAGCGAATCAGACCTCTATTGTTAAATTCCAACCTCAAAGCAATGAAAAAAGATGCCTGCTATGGATGGATGAATATGTAGCAACTCACTTGGGAACTACTTCATTTCCGTGTTCTGTAGGAATGTTAATTATAAATGAAATGACACCAATAAGAAGCCTGAAACATCCGAAATAATTCCTCGATCTAGTTGAATTACATAGGCAAATAAGTGCTGCGGCGGTCAAATATCATCTCTATTCCACGGAATTTAGGTAACTGGCGCAGTTGGTTCATGAGTGCATTCTTCACCACATCGACTACTTTAGAATAAGCGACGCGGAGGGGAAACAACGAAAACAGCGCTTAAGGAAGAGTTACTGTATAACGCTCCGAAGACTTAGTTAACTCTACATGTTTTACGTCCGTACCATAAAGGGACACACGTACCAATCCACAGGTAGAATGTGGTGATTTGGTCCTCCGGGGGGAAGAAGAGGGTCTGTGTGAAATCGGAGAACATGAGATTCCTTTGGATCCAGTTTTCCCCGGGCACGACGTATTCAGTGGAGGAAAAGAGGTTGAATCGTGGCGTCCCGGGTGTAGGATTGGTTAGAAATTTGACAATAAGAAGATTCAAGAAGTCTTTGAAGGGTTGAATGTCTAGCCGACGCGAGGACGTCATGACGAGACGAGCGGGAATTTTACCCCAGTTACAGTTCTGCCAGTCGTTCAATGGAGCAGTCCACAGACCACTGGAAACAAATAATAATTTCTATGGCCTCTATATGTTCGTGCCGAAAATTGGAGTAAAAGTGCTACCTTTTTAGTTGCAAATGGATGAAAATACGCTCTCATGCCAGTAATGTATCTTTTGCTACACTGCTATGGCTTCATACCACCCCAGGAAACACTCAGATTGCTATCCTAATATGACTCTTGGAATATCATGAAGGTCTTGGGGCACACCAATAGTTTTGCTTGTGATAGCCGTTAAAGTATCATGACTCCATGACTTTGAAAATATATTTTGCTAAAAAAACCTCACACCCTATTTGTCAGTCTACCCAGATACTTTGCCTCTCATGTACAGCCTAGATCAAGACGGAACCATTACCAGTATTCGGTCCTCTGATTACAATAAATCCAATCCAAAATTCGCAGCACGAGTGGTAAGTCATTCGACGAAAATGCATAACAAGACCCCACCTGAGTTGTCGCGCTGGACAGAGAAGTTGGTATAGTTCTTTTGGAAACCAACCATCACTGATAGCCAATTCAACTTCTTGCGCTCTCACCACCGCTGCCACAGGTCGTTTTCGGGTCTCGGGATTATTGCGATGCTCGTGTAGGCAGCGCAAGGCTCCCTGATTTTCTGCAAAGCGATCCCTTGAGGTACAAAACGCCTGAGTCCCTACGTCAGCGCAGAGACGACATATCTCCTGTGTGTTGTCTCCAAAGGGGTTAAAGTCACTTTGAAGTGCATTAGGTATGCAGGAATCACCCAGAAACTGGACGAGGTTCTGCACAACACTATTGCACTGTGTGATGTTGATGACACGAAGGTCGCCCATTAGATGACTTAGAGGTAGGATCCAACTTTCCGCTGTTCCTGCTCCTGTCGCAAGGAGATACGGAAGAGAATTACGTAGGTTTTAGAAGTGCTTTATCGGCCAAATTCTTAGAAATAAGCAACTTTAAATGAAAAGATCATGGAATACGCCCCAACATGAACAATGTTAAACCTGTATTGAAGCACTGTGGCGGCTGTCACGGCCGCAATTACCTCTGAATGCAGAGACGGGTCGATCACGTAGAGGATGAACGCAACGCACCTCCTAGCCACATGAATATTAGTCTCTCGTACCCAAGCAAAGGTTCTGCCTACCATGTCTGAGCCAAGTTTTTGCGCTCTAAGCGTACGATTCTGATAATCAACACCTAATTGCTAATAAAATATAACATCGCTGGTAAGGATAGCTGAATGACATCCGAAATGACTAAAGCTTTTTCAAATTCCGATTCTCCCGCTTATTTTACGTGTGTTAGATTGACGTACCTGCAAAACAGACCTCTTTGCGTCGAAGTGAATAAGGATCTATATTTTCGCCGATAGGTACCACTATATTCGAATAATAGTACAGCCCACTTTCTGGGTGGGATGCGTTGTAATTTTCGACTGCTAATGGTCGTAGACTGTATGACTGGCTAGCAATGTCACCGAGACCAACGTCCAGCGTGATTAAATCTGCCTTCTCTGTGCTTATAAGCTTCATGCAGTCGAATTCTGAGAGGCCCATGACACAAGTAAGGGTAAAGTTGGTAGAAAACGTTGGTGTTAGAGAAATTGCACGAGAAAGAGCCATGCATTTAAGCCTTTCAGCTTTCGTAAACACGCACCAGCGAACGTCATCTAAAATTACAAACAATTCCGTATATAAATCAATAGAGCATAAAATACTTATCGATCGATATCAAAACAATTTATTCGTGGCTATCATCCAGTTAACAATTTTGGAGAAATTATCATACAAGCCACATTTTTGAAAATGATGTCGTACTATAACTGACCTGCTTTATAGTAATGAAGCAAAACTAAGAACCAAGTAAACAATAAACTAAAACTCTCACGACAAATAATCCAGCTGTAGCAGTATCATTAACCCAGAAATTCAGAGCATTACAAATGTAGACCTGAAATTATCCTATAGCCAACCACACGTTGGTATTTCAAGGACCTTGAGAAGAGCGTAAAACTCACAGACCGCTGCAGTAGACCACAAAAGGCAAAAGAGCGACAATACGCATGTGACTACAAATTCTCGCATATTTACATCTGTGACGCATCTGTAGGTTAAAACAAAGCTAAACAAAATGTTTGTTTAGCCTTAATAATTAAATCTACAGTATAAGTTAGGCAATATTGGCAATCAAGTAAATAATTATGGAGTTCGTAGTTGAATTGCTAAGTCTGAGTTTAACCATTAGCTGTGCGCATTTCCTTAAGAATACTGATGCCTTTTTAACATGGTAACACACATTGTCGGATTTCGGATGAACGTAATCATACACATTTGAGGGCCTCGTCGCAGCATGCTCTTCATTTAAGTTCCATATTTTGATTGATCACAATACTTTGCATGGGGTTTTCCTAAGCAAACAAGGCACACCTCACAACCCAATGGCATTTTGGTAAGATAAATGTATTACAGTTAGATTTTATAGGAATATGTTATGCTGTGATGTATCATAGTGCAAGTATTGGAACCCACTGGTACTACTGGTACTACTACTACTACTACTACTACTTACTTTCTACAATAAGTATTCCTTCCCTCTTGCTTCATTTTCATTAAAATACAATGGATTGCGAATTCAGCTTTTTAACTAAGAAAATTTGCGCAGACGAAAGGGCTCCTAACGAATTTGAATCCCCAAACATGTTTTTTTGTACTGCGCAGGGGTTGAAGTTGCAAATCACTTACAAGCCCACAAAGTTATTTGTCCATATCCGGTCCATATCATTGCTACAGTTTATAAAATGGTGGGTAAATACATAAGCACAGAATACAGATACTGACTGTGGCGTCCCGAGACTTCTCACGAGGTAGAAGGGCGTCAAGTTGGAGTAAATGCA